ATATTTATGACGCCGCTGCTGTTGCTGCTGCTGCTGCTGCTGCTGCTGTTGCTCTTGTTGCTGTTGATGATGTTGGTGCGACTGGCTTTGGAACAGCTGCTGCTGCATTCTTTGCAAGAGTGTCAGCCCAGAGTCGTCAGGAGAGTCTCCCTGGGTGTTGGATGACGGCGAATTTTCTCGACCCACATCCTGAGTAAGTGCACCAATCTGTCGAGGTTCGAGATCTCCACCCCTTGCTATGACGTTCTTGAGGGAATTGCTAGTCCTGCTTGACTCATCGCTGTTAGAATGCCCCAAATGACGATGTCGATGTTCCTGATATGGTTGCCAAGGCTGCAAAGTTGACTGCGACTCCTGGGACACCTGATGAAGGCCCTCTCGTGAGCTACTTCGACTACTGAATTCGCTACTTACGCTAGTCGAACCTTCAAGTGCCGGTGAACTCTGCTCGGACCTCTCTGGGATCTGTAAGAGGCCATAACTAGAACTTCCGATGGCTTCGCTTGTTCTTGAAAAAGGGAGAGCTGGCTCAAATAACCCTGCGACACCAGTGCCATCCGGTCCTACGCGATGCGATAGACTTGATGTCGCGCTAATACCAGTTGACGCCTGGCCGTGCTGAGGAGTCATTGCTGCTGCAAGCTGAGCCATGTTTTTGGGGACCTCAACTGTGCCCATAGTCGTTGCCCTGGGTCTTTGTTGATGCTGGAATGATGCTGCAGGTAATATTGTCGTTGTAGGTTGTACGTCTGATATGTCTTGGAGCTGGGTGTGGTTCAGAGCTGCCACACTCTTCTCATCCGCTATCGCTACAATTGAAGGCTCAGCCGCAGCTGCGTTGACGTCAGTCCTCGCCGGCTTTTCAAAAGACGACGACGACCACGGAGCAGACTTTGTTGGATCCTCAGTGAGGTCATGAGACGGCAGCGGGTGGACTGACGGATTCGTTTTACCAATCTCCAAGGGGCGAGCAGAGCTGGGCTGGAGTTGCGGATCAGTTGGTTGTGCCGTCGATGTTGGCGCTGTCGCAAAAGTCGGAGTGGACGACGACATTGAAAGCGAGGCCGATCTAGCTTTGGATGCTCGCCCAGGTAACGTTGGCTCAAGACGTGCAGAGTTTTCAGTCGTCGCTGGCTTCTTGGGTATCGTCGGCGGTATGAAGCCGCCTGTGAAAGGCTCACCTGTTATGAAGGGGTGAAGCTTGGCCTGATGAGGCGACCATCGCTCAATGGGATTAAGGTTCAAAAGACCTTGTAAAAAGTTGACGAACGAGTGGCGATTCATCGTTTCTAACGAGGACGAGATCAGAGGAGCAATGCATATTAGTGTGTGGTATGTATTCTAATTACAGTCAGAAGCACTTCATGCTATTCACCCTACCTTTTTCGATTTCTTTGGGTGTCATGCCTTTCTTCAGCATAGGATAGCCATTGACGATATCAGGCAGAGTGGTCGCCTGAAAGTAACGCTTGCTTGGTTGCTCCATGACACTGTGTTCCCTGGAATAGGTCTCGATAGACTTCAGACGATACTTCTTGGGCGATGGTCTAGTGTAATTGTGACCTAGATGATCAGGGCGCACCATTTCAAAGAACTCGTGTGCAGTTTTGCCAATATCTAGCATATATGTGGGAAGCATTCTAAGAGTAATCCGATTAGACATGTTAGATGTGGAGACAGTACAAGAGCACTGCACGATGACGAGAGGGCCTATTCTAGTTCATTTACCCAAGCATCTCCACGATCCGTGATAGTTGGTTGTATTCGGAGCTTCCTGGGAAGAGCGGGAGACCGAGGAAGAGCTCCGCCGCTATACAGCCAACAGACCAAATATCGATAGAGGAAGAATATCTATGCAGTAAAAAAAATCAGATAAAGGTTAGTTTGGAATCTTGCACTAGACGCTAAAGCGGAAGCGTGCACTTACGGCAATCCCACAAGCACTTCAGGGCTTCGATAGAATCGCGACTGGATATAGGTGTACACGGTTTGCTGTTCATGACATGCGGAGCCGAAGTCAATGACCTTGATAGTGGGCGTCTCCAAGCTACTCCGTGTAAAAGGCAAGACGATATGTCAGAAAAATTAGCAGGTTATTCAAGGGCTACCAGCGAAGGCGAGCAATATGATAGTGTTCCTCTGCAACATTACTTTTTTAGTAACACGTTCTCGGGCTTCAGATCGCAATGAATAATGCGCGCTTCATTCAGCACACAGAGTGCATCCAGGAGCTGTGCGGTGAAGACTCGGACCAGACTCATGCTCAAGCCACGAAACTGGTTTTGCTTGATTAGCTCATACAGGTTCACAGAGAGAAGCTCAAAGACTAGGCAAAGGTGTCGTCGATGGATAAAGGTGTCCTGGAGCCGCAAGATGTGGTGTCGATCGTCCACGTCATAACGCTCATTTAGTAGCTCCAGGACCGTCACCTCCATCATGCTCTGGTTGAAATATGCCGGCCGGTTTTTGATAACCTTGACAGCCACGATCGCGTTGGTTTTGAGGTTTTGACACTTTACGACTTGACCAAATGTCCCTTGGCCCAGTACGTCCAAAATAAGATACCTGTAAAGTAAAGAAGTGCATCAGCAACTCACTTTGGTCTGACATCGCCTTTTAGCAGGTACATTTGTTTTAACCCATTGCTACTCACCTCTGCCTCTCCTCGCTCCCCAAAATGTCGCTGACATACAAAATATAGTCGTAATCTTCGTTGTCGTAGCCCTCATTGTGAATCGGCTTTGATGGCTTAGTCAGCACTCTACGTGGATTGTAGGACGGCTCATACTTGAATTCCCTGTTACAGTGTGAATAGGTCCTTGTCAGCAGCTCTGTTAAGGCTCGTAGAGGCTATCGTACGAGAAAGAGAGGCCACAAGGGTCAGGATTCAAGATACACAACTTCACGCACATCGCAGAGCTTCCTTTGCGCTCCTTACGCTGATACTATGTCCATACGCATCGATCGAGCGATACTTCTGGGACCCCTTCTGTGGCCATAGGTCTGCTTGATTCCTCACATAACGAAATGAGCCGCCTTTTGGTTGCTGCTGGTCTAGAGTCATGGGCTGGATACTTCGGCGGTGTGTCCTTGGCGGAAAATGCTGTTGACCTTGAGTTGAAGGTGACGATCGTTGATGGAATGCATGCTGCTGGTTACGGAGCTGAGGTAGAGAATTGGCTTGAGTCTGAGCCTGGGCCTGGGCCTGGGCCTGGGCCTGTGCATATGCCATGGCTTGAGAGGATAGTTGAGGCATCTTAGGGGAGCGCATAGGAGACCGAATGTATTTGACAGGAGGTTGAGGCACTGCGACCGACTGTTGTGATGGACTTTGTAGCTGCTGGGGCTGTTGGTAGAGATGCTGCTGAGCATGCGACGTGGGCTGGTGTGCGCGAGGCGGCAACGCGGCTTGGGCCGAGGCCGCGTTGGAGAGTGGGGTGACTGTGTACTCTTGCCCTTGCGATGGATGTTGGTCTTGTGGTGAGTCGTCAATGGCGTACGGTGCCCGCAGTGACTGAAGGGCTTGCGGTGGAGGCGGAAGAAGCGCAGAGCCAGGCGATAGCTGGATGGAGAGATGTCTGGAAAGCGTCGCACCGGGCAGATGCCCATGAGACTGCGAGTATCCTTGCTGGAATACCCCGGGGTTTCGCGTCGAGCGGCTCCCAGCTGATGGCGGTGACGGCTCTGCCTGCAATTGAACAGGATGTTTCGTCCTTGATGACAATCCTTCCAAAGTATGTCCATGCGCGACAGTGGAGGCCTGGGTACCATGCGGTAAACCGCGGTTGGGACTCTCATGGTCGTCAATGGTGATGCCGACGTGGCCCGTGCTTCGTTCTGAAGGCCCCCGGAGCTTGTCCTGAGCAGTTTGACCATCGTTACCAGGATGTAGCCCACTACGCCCGTGGAATGAGCTGTCTGGCGCATCTTCTAGCGGATAGGCTGCCAGAGTTGTTGCTGCTGCTGTAGCGTTCACAATAACCGAATCCTGACGCATTCCCTCCTGGAAACTCGACAAGTTCTGGGGTTGCTGAACAGGAGCAGAGACGTGGCGATGGCGAGGGGTGTGTTGCTGCTGAGGGCTGAGCTCTTGCGAGAGGAGTGCCATGTGCTGTGTCTGGCCCTGACCCTGACCCTGTCCCTGGCCTTGTCCATGCGTCTGCTTCTGCGAGTATGCGTCCATGACAGATGTGATGTGTTTAAAGCGTGGGAGTCGAGACGTGATGCATTTTTTGCTGGTCGAACACGCGCATGAGGGAACCGTCACTCCGGTCTTTCATGCCGTGGACCGAATTCCATCCTCCCCTCTCTTCACACTTTACTCGCCACATCATCCCCTCGACCAGGCGCCCTTCCTGGTAAATAATAGTTGGTCTCTGCACTTGCGATATCTACCTATCACGACACCTCGATCTCGTCTCGGCACCTTCTTGTGAAAATGCGGGGTAGTGTCTACGGCACCATTAAGCTAAACGCAGGCGCACGAAGTGTTCTGCAAGAGTCAACAGGTGAGAAACAGAAGACACACGCGAGATACGAGAAAGAAAGCGGATAGCCGCCCGTTCAATGAACCCGCCCATCTCTGATATCGGTGTGTCCGTCGCAAATGGCGACTCCAGAACAGAAAGTGTAATCCTCTGGATCCCAGGTATATCGTTACAAAACGATGCTGCTTGAGCGCGGCAATATATATCTATCGCTGTCCGTAAGGAAATGAAAATGAGAAGTGGCTGGATCATAAGACGACACACTTCATGGCCTTTGACCATGCCATTGACAACCTTCCAGAATTGCTACAGAGGTTTAACGGCCCCTGGTGACGAGCTCTACGATCCCACATCATCCTCGGGTACCACCAAAAGGCAAAGAGATCCCATCTTTTAATGGTGACTCTGCCCTTTTTTAGAAAAAAGAATAGGCGGATTTAAACTACTTGGGATCTATTACAGATCGGCAGCCTGGGGATATCGAATACAATATAGCATTGTGGATCAAAATAGTGACGACAGTGGGATTTGAACCCACGCCCTTTCGGACCAGATCCTGATTCTGGCGCCTTAGACCAACTCGGCCATATCGCCTTAATATGCGAAGTACTGGATATTATAGGTTAATAATCTAAATGAAAATATTCTATTCAATTTAAGAAAATATCTTTATTTGCATATACGATTCAAGTAGAAAACTGCCCATCTCTTCCCCCTCCCTTCCCCCCCCTCTCAACGGTGATCCTTCTCATCTTGTTCCAAGTCCGTTACCAGCTCCACCTGCATCAGATCTACCAGCCGAGGGAATGCTTGACTTCTTCACCATTGCCACTAAGGGCGGCCTTGTCCTTTGGTCCAAATCGTACAGTCCTTCCTTGTCTTCGCCCATAAATACCCTCATTCAGGATGTTCTAATCGAAGAACGTTCCTCAACGCAAGTCTACTACAAAGACAACTATGCCATCAAGTGGAGCTTTGCGAACGAACTCGACCTGATGTTTGTTGTACGGGACATGAATATTGTTTGGTAGTGAACGGATGAATCTACTGTGAGAGCAAGTGACTGATCTACCCACCATCTCATTAGGCTGTCTATCCTAAAGCTCTCGGTTTATCATATGTTGACACTCTGTTGGCAGCAGTTAGTATGGAGTTCAGCAGCCTGTACGGTGACAGCATATCTCTCAGGAATGGGTCCGTCCCACAGCTCAAAGACTGGAGCGTACATTTTGAGGCTCTGTTACAGACGGTTGAGGACCAGACGGCAATGGTAATTGCCTGCAGATGTTGGTTGCACTACCTCTGTCGCCATGCTTAATTTCTCACTGCATTTCTATACGATTAATCTCCTCAGGCAAAGAAAGTTAAACAGCCGCGCAAGTTTGAAGACACAGCGAGATATGCGAACACTCTGGCCTTCGCCAAGGCCAAGCCAGGTTAGTGTCCTATAGCTGCCAGAATTACTGTTGATTACCATACGAGACGGATACTCATACCTCGATCCATCGATTTCTCACTAGAGGATACGAAGGATGTCAGCCATTCGCCATTGCTAGACGAGGACGAATTTCGCAGAAACGTAGACCTCCTCAAGAAGAAGACAGCCTCGCCTAGGATTACAGGACGAAAAAGCAAAGGCGCCAAGTCTCCTATAACTTCTCCGGTTATTGGCTTGGACGACTCTAAAACGAAGGCCAAGGAAGGTCGAAAGTGGGATGGAAAGATTTCAGCCAAGGACGCAAAAAGCCTTGACTACAGTAACTCAGATGCATCGGAAGTCGTCAAGGCGGGACATCTTGTAAGTCTGAATTCCCTGTTACGAATGACATATTTGCAAAGCGATTCTGACCTATCAATATGGATCTGCAATAATTTGATATAGGTGGACCAAAGCGATATGGGGCGTCACGGCAACGACGGTACCTATAACGTTGCTGATTTAGAGGCAACCGACGAGGACAGCTACAGCTCCACTGAATCAGACGAGGAGGAGTACACAAAGATATCGGCTCGTTCCCTCCAGGCAAAAAAAACGGTTGCACCCACCAGTGGACTCTTATCTTTCTTCAAAAGCATGAGTGGACAAAGGGAGATGACTGTCGAGAGTTTGGAACCTATTATGCATAGGATGAAGGAGCATCTCGTTGCCAAGAATGTGGCTGCAGATATTGCTCAGCATCTATGCGACTCTGTCGCGAAGGGTCTCATTGGACAGACTCTGGGCAACTTCAAGAGTAAGTGTGTGTTTGTATCAATGCAACTGTAATTTTTCTAGTGTCTCATAATCCTATTCTATCTCACTATCACCACCAGGCGTCCAAGCCCATGTCAAGCAGACCATGGAGTTGGCACTGAAGCGCATCCTCACGCCCAAAACCTCAGTGGATCTACTACGCGATATTGCACAAGCTCAAGCGGAAAAGCGACCGTATACCATCGTGTTTATCGGAGTCAATGGAGTAGGAAAGTCTACCAACCTGTCTAAGACCGCCTTCTGGTTGTTACAGAACAATCTAAAGGTGTTGATTGCCGCTTGCGACACCTTCCGCTCAGGAGCTGTGGAACAACTTCGAGTCCATGTACGCAACCTGAAAGCTCTGGAGAGCAATGCCATCGTCGACCTGTACGAAAAAGGCTATGGCAAGGACTCTGCGGCGATCGCAAAAGAGGCCATTTCGTCAGCAAAATTGACTGGCCACGATGTGGTCCTTATCGACACTGCCGGACGGATGCAGGACAACGACCCATTGATGCGCGCGCTTGCTAAGGTAGATGAACACCCGTTAACCTGCTGCGAATGGCACACCTGATTCTGATCCTATTTGCTTCAAGCGCCGTTCCTAACCATCGTTAATTTTGTAGCTGGTTACCGTCAATAACCCCGATAAGATCATTTTTGTTGGCGAGGCCTTGGTGGGCAATGAAGCAGTCGATCAACTGACGAAATTCAATGCGGCATTGAAGGACTTTTCAGGACTGGCAAACCCGCGGCATATCGATGGGATGATTTTGAGCAAATTTGACACTATTGATGACAAAGTTGGTGCGGCCTTGTCTATGACCTATACCACGGGTCAGCCAATCCTTTTTGTTGGCACTGGGCAGACGTACACCGATCTAAAGAACATGAAGGTCAGCCACGTCGTCGCCTCACTTTTGAGGGAGTAGAGATCAAGCCATGGAGTAGTAGTACACCTAATAATTTTAGACCGTTGACTTGTTATGACTCTGATCTCGCATTTGTTTGGTCCTAACTGAGTGCCCGTATTCAATACAATCTCTTCGTGTCCTTTGACATGCGTCCGCCTAATTTTTGAGGGATAAAAGAGAGTCCTGTTCTCCATGCAGATCTCTCTACGCCTTATAACTCTGATGCTCGTCCTAGATCTACTACACCCGAAACAAATACTGCCGTGTGATTTCTCCACAAGGATTTTGAAGCCCGAGAGATGACTTGATTTCTTTAGACTCTTGTCAATGCTAGCAGTACTAGTTGAATGGTCGAGTTGCAACCTCTGGCTAAGCGATGAGTGGCCTTATGCAAGGGAGGCAGTCGTAAAAAGCGTGCATGCCAGCGGATAGCTTGAGGCAGGAAATCAGAAGAATCCGTGTGATGCTACTGCTGTGGCGTTTATTTGACAACCGAGTCTGTTGAAAAATACTGCTTGGTGACTGGAACCCTACACAAAGCGCAGCCTCGCATCAGTGGTATCATCAACCAGATACACGGATTTTTTTGCCGTCTCTAGTACATCACTTGATTGGCTGCGCAACAAAGTTCCGTGTGTGGTGATGTCGCTGATACCCTGATGCCAGCGCTCATATTATAGACTTTAGGCGGTGGGCAATGAATACTACGCTTGGATCTTGGATGTATCTTCAACGAAGGGCAGACATGGATCAGGGACAGCTGCGAGGAAGGTAAGACAATAGATCGACTGAGTTTTGTTCCCTTCTTGTTTGTTGTGCTCATGCAGACTTCTCATCTTTTTATCGTTCGACGCCATTAAATAGCATAGAGTATCTCTATACTGCTCTTGCCTCATACCTGCCTAGCCTGGCGTAAACCATGGCCCTGCCTATCCCACACCTGCCTCTGGGCGTAATCGACTGTGTCATGAGCCCATAAAACATCATCAAGCGCACTTAAATGACACCCGCACGTAAGAGGAAACACCCAAATGGCGCTGCGCCCAAATAATAAGGAAACACCACACTTTAATGGTTGTAATAGTTGGCACGGATCTTGGCATCTTTGCTTGAGGTAAGTGAGGCTTCTTTCATGTTCTACGCACCCCTCTGTGAAATGGTAGAATAGGGATCCAGTGCGGTTGTGTGCGTGCCTTTGATGAAGGACAAAGCACAAAACCGTTTTTTCTAATTTTGTCGTTACAAGTGCGGCATGTTGGAAGGGAGCCTTTCCAGATCATTATCAACACTCGATTTATAATACTCCACACTACAATTTATGCAGACATGGGGTTCAGAACCATGGAGATGCGTGCGGCAGGGTCGAGAACCTACGTCGCATTGTGTAAGGTGTACAAGATGTATTGTCTCCCCTCGGCTCGTGGAGATCTTACCATCCAGTTCCAGAGCTTGGCTCATCTTCTCCAGATCCGAGTAAGAATCAGTGCAGGACGAGTCATGGGTGACGATGTCTGATGGCCTATTTCCTGTGCGCAAGTCGTTTCTTATTGAAGTATTTGTCCTATTTTGCTGCTAGGCCTGTGTTACGAAGACCATGGCTGCTTATTAGGAGCTCCACGACGGTCATATCAACCATAGGGATGCCAAGGAATGGTTGTATGGCAACGACAGTGTCGATCTCAACGACGACACCCTCGCCTCCTCGCCGATTGCTTCACCTAAATAAAGCATGTCGCTATATATGAATGAAGTGTTATCAGTTGTATGGAGTATTGCACATCCAAGAAGTGCTCCAAGTCCCATGATTTTGTTGACCGGGCTATATACACACGCATTGGTTGTAGAAGAAGAGAGATTGCAAGGCCTATATGCGCCACAATATGTCGTCACAGGCCTGCTTGCCAGTGCCAGATCCAACGAGATGGCCTGTGCCACCGTTTCCTCGCATAGTAGTCAAAGTCGAGGATAGCGATGTTTCGATACAGAAGAGAGAGAAATGCGCGGGACTTTGAAGCAGAGAAGTGTGCGGAGATGATTTCTTCTAGCTCAAGAATCAGAATCTGGGTTGGCACATTGTTGAAGTAGAACTGTATGTAGCAGCAATAGATTGGTTTAACTCCATTTATTGGGTGCTACTAGCTTGCACCAAAACATTCAAAATGCATCGCCCATCTTGTAGTTATCTATAACAAGACCGTTAGAACGTCGCACGCCTGAGCTCCTCCAAAGAGTTTGCTTGCAGAGGCGTCTTGATCGATTTTCCAGAAACAATTTCTGCAAGACCCTCTCCAGAGTATGTTACCAAAGGAGAGAGCTCCAGAGATGGGACGCCTTCGATCTGGCTGTCATTGTCGCCAACGATAACTCTGCCGCCTGCAGCTTCAATGAAGCGGATGTGTTGCATCAGAATGTCGCGCCGCGAGGTCTCTGGGCAGTCTTGTCCA